TCAGAGGTACCGCTACAACGTATCAGAGGTACCTCCCAAAATTTTGAAAATTTAAAATATATTAATAAAGGAGACTTTATACGGGTTTTGTTTTGGTTATGACCTTGGTGAATGGGGTGTAAAGACATGGTATCAGACTATACAATACTCACGGGTATACTTTCGTGGGTTGATGGGTGATCAACGGGTTGAGCAAGGACCTCTGAATTTTGGGGTGTGACACGCATATTATGTGTTTTCGATTTTGATTGATTGAATATTCATCCACGCATAATTGTGCATATTAGGTTTAAAATTTGGGATCGTCGTGATATTGATTTTGAGCGAATTAATTCAAGATTAATTAAATCAATCGTCATGGTTAAGTTAAGTTGTGATCACTAAAGGGGTTCTCACATTCTTTACTTAATCTTTGTGAGAAGAGGTAATTGTGATAGGCATATGTTTTAATTAGTAATCAATTTAAGCTAAAATTAAAAAAAAGGAAGATCCACACCGGGTTCCCCCTCTCGGAACAACAAATTGTTTTATGAAAAATTTGAATAATTAATTCAAACGTGCAAAACCAGTTATTTAACTCGCAGGGAATCTCAAGCATTCAATATATGTGACATAATGAGTCAAGAAATTTTACAGAAAAAAAAACTTTACCAAAAGACATGAAGTAATTAAAAAAATAAATCGTACATTAAAGAACATCGAATCAAAAATAAATACCGAGTTTCGTTGGAATAATCACTTCTAGTTTTGGTTGGGGATTTAGCAATCCGTAAGAAAACAAAGGCAAAAAGCTATGAAAGAGGGGCTAAAGGTAAGAATGACCTTTCATAAGGTTTACATCAATTTGCATAGGGATTAGGAAACCAAAGACGACCTAAACAAAGTTAAGGACCCATTCTTAGCCAATTTGCCCATCGTGTTCAGACACGTGTTTTAGACCATTGGGACACACCTATTCGTCTTGGCCTTTTCTCTAGTCACATCAAGACGCATTGGTTCCTCTCCTCTTTTTAGCTACTAGAAGTCGCATTCGGACGCTTATCCTAAACCGTTAGGGCGTATAACTCTTTTTGTCAAATTTTGCTTCTAATTGCTCTGAATCTTTCACCGTTCACGCATTTGCCCCCTTAAGTATTGAAATCAACTATTTTCCTTGTAAAATTGGTAAATGCTACAAAAGAGAGAAAAATTTCAAAACTTGATTAATTTTGCACAATTAATTTCTTATCCAAAATTAGCCAAATAACACTATACTAATCATGCACAATGCACCACTAATCAGATTGTAACTGACTTCAATTTAGAAAAATTACCTTAATTGATGGTAAGTAATTAGGTTTAAAGTATAAATTTATACCTAAATTTATTTGACAGCCTCAAATAGACTCATTTAACAGTCACTAAAATCTCTCTCAAAATCATTCACATTGCACTGTACCTTTGGGCATGGGTTAAATAGACTCATCAAACAGTTTCAAATAGACTCATCCAACAACCATCAACATCACTCTTAAAACTACTCACATTGAATTTTTCCTCCCAAAATCTATTACTTCTCACTTACGTTATACCATTTCTTATTTTTTTCTTCCCCAAATCTATCACTTCTTACTTACATTACACCATGTCTCCAGGTAGGGGTGACAATATTCGACTTAATATGACAACACGACTCGAACTCGACTCCAATTTTATGACACGAACTCGATTATAACTTGACACGAACTCTATTATAACTCAACACAAACTCGAAAATGACCCGACATGCGAATACAAAATAGAAAATGAGTCATGTTCAGGTTTAACCCACCAAATACAAAATTGACACGATCAACCTGTTTATTTAAAAATAGACACTTTCTCCATTTTCTCATTTGTATGATAACATGAACAATACAAAATTAACATGTTTAACTAGTATTATATAAATAAAATATTAATTATTTGTAACTGTTTATTAAACATCGACATAATTATTGTATAAAAAATATATTTTTACTTATTATTATTATTATTATGTTTATTAAGTTAATTTTTAGCTTGTAAAAATGTAACGCCCCAAAACACACCCTGGATGACATTACATTCTAAAACCATTTATATCATGAGAGCACTAATATAATCCTTTAAGAAACAAGACTTCATTTGTCATCCACGAATATTTACAACATTATCCAAAAGAATAAGCTCAAGTAATGGCTATTACATCTCAAAAATTAATTAAGGAAGCGTAGCGGAATAAACAAAAGAAGCTAGACTACACAATGTTCCAAAAGAATGTCCTAGTCTAGTACAAAAGGAAAGGAGGTCGCTCTATGCGTCCACCTCGGGATCCACACTCCCGTCCCGTGGAGTCTCCCAAGTAGCGGGCTCCTCGACCCTTACGTCCTTCTCCTCAAGCGGGTAATCTGAAAAATGTTAGCGATAGGGGGTGAGCACGAAGTTCTGTAGAAACATTCTCTCAAACCCATACAAGGTTTAAAAAAACATTTAAAATGGTCGGTCTCAATTTTAACATAACATAGACACATAATTTGAAATAAAGCAGTGACATTTAAAAAGGATCTCAAGTTTATTTAAAAATATTACTTAAATGAATAAATGAGCACCACATACAAATAATAACTATTAATTGCCATAACCAATTTTCAACAATTCTTTCAATTGGTGGCATACTTTGTGGTAACCTCTACCCCTCTTTTCGGTCACCTTTGATTCTCAAGCATCCTTACCGGGAACCTCTTGAAAATAGATGAGCATCCTTACATGGAACCTCTCACCAATCACTACATTATTTCTCAAGCATCCTTACCGGGAACCTCTTGGGAAGGGGTGAGCATCCTTACAAGGAATCTCTCACTCATGTGCATCATAAACAACCCAACCAAGCATACAATTCCAACATTTATCTCAATTTACAAGCATCTATCCAAAATTTTCAAAATATATCATATAACAATTCCACAACTAACTAAGAAAGTATATGAGATCACAATAACATCATTTTTCTACCCAACACAAAGCACTAAGGTTTCAAAATTCATAATAAAGAAAGCATTTAGGAAGGAAATACATCACTCTCCAAAAATTAGAGTTTTAAAACTAGAAATGAGATTTCATGGGTATTAAACTCTACTTTGTTCAAAACAGGTAATCCTTGCAAAAAGACTAAGAGTGGATGATTCCATAGCATATATATACCCTTGATAGCCAAAACATACATATATAAATACCCTAGCCTCAATGTAAGTGAATGAGAGAAAACCCCTACCTTGAATCCTTAGCTTTGGAGTGAAGAACAAGAATATTTGATCTTAAATCACCCTTGAATCTCTTATTTTTCCCTTCCTTTCTTCTTCTCTGATGCCCTCTAGGGTTTCAAGAGGTGTGGGGGTGTGAGGGGAGTGAAGGAAATGAGAGCAAATGAGATGACAATGAGTTTAAAACATAGCAGCCCCGAAAAATACTGTTCACAGGCTGTTTTGGGTTTCTCCAAATTTACGATTTTACCACTAAAAATCTCCAATTTAATCCATATGACTACTCTAAGGTTTTTCGACATTCCGGATTCATTTTTAATGTTATTTTAACTTAAAAATATTTATTTTTATGATTTATCTCAACACCCAAGTCAACGTACACCCGAAACACTAAAATTTCTATTTTACCCATCCAAATCGACTATTAATGAAATTTTGCGATGTTTGCAAATAAAAGGTGATAAAGGGTGTTTCTTAAAGCCTTTTTATACTTATTTGAAGCCTAAAAGTACTCATTATTCTTATATTTTGATTTAGGATGCAAATGGAGACATTAAATGCAAAACGAAGCTAATTGGACTATTTCGACATCATTTCGTTATCTGAGCATAACTCTCTCATCCAAGCTTCGATTGAGATGATTCAAGATGCTATGGAATGATACGAAAGAGCTCTAAAACTTTCATGTTTTGAGTTTTGAGAGATATTGACTGCATCAAGATCTAAATCGAGCTTAAAGTTTCAGTAGTTCACTGTTCATGTGCACTGTTCATAGCCTATTTTCGTCCCTTTTCCATTTCCAATCCATTCCTAAGCCAACCAAATCTATCGCAAACCTTTCCAACACATATTTCTACACCAAACCTATTTAATACAAGTTCTAGGACCTAAAATTTCATATTTTCACTTATTAAAACCAAATTTCAACTATTATTTTCACTAACATTTTAAATCTCTACTTTTCCAATCTACCAAATTCAAACACACATCACTACATATATCCACATTTTTTTATCACAATTATTTACTATATATCTATATACATATATAAAAGAAAATGCGGGGTGTTACAAAAAAAGTATTAGTATGAATTTAATTAAGGGAAAATAAAATATTAATGTTAAATTTTTTATTCAAAGTTTACGTGGATTAACACGAATACAAACACGAAACACAACATAAAAATACATAAGTCAACTCAATACAAGATTAATTAAATAGATTAGATCGGCGAGACCGACCAACGATATGACTCCATTGCTACCCCCAACCTCCAGCCATGGGTTATCTGATGTGTTATAAAGGTTTTGGCTCCTCTGCGGTAAGGGAGGTTACCTCATATCATGCGATTTAATAAAACGTCGCCGTTTGGTGTTCTTTTTCCATTTTTTTTATTTCTCCTTACCAAAACGACGTCGTTTTTGGTCCTTTAAATCGGCGCATCAGACCCTACCCTTTTCTTTCTCCCTCTTCTTCTTCGTCAAACTGGGTTTGGTTCTCCCATGGCCAACAATCTTGTGATACTCTCTTTCCTCTGATCTATCTTTCAATAGCAAAGCAACAACAACAATTATTCTCTCTCTTCATGGCCACAACAGTTTCTCTCTGTTTGTCCTTAGACCCACAGCGTCACTATTACCACCATAACCACCTTTACCACACCACCCACTTCAAAAACCAAGCACGATTCTTTTCCCTAAAACACACTCACCCACTTGTTATCTTCCCCAAATTTGACCGTTATAACCTCATCTCTTCATTCTCTACATCCCACTCTTCTTCCTCGTCTTCAACTTCACCATCATTTCTCCAAAACCCCTTCTTCCAGGGTGTTTTCTCACCAATGAAGAGCTTGAAAAGCTTCAATCCCTTGAGGATTTCAAATATTACAAAGAATTGGAATCTGGGTCTATGTGGGTTCGAGTGATGAGGCAGGAAAAGATGGACATGAATGTTTAGTTGTTGGCAGAATCTTTTGTAGAGTCCATGTTGTTGCATATGAGATATGTGAGATTCTTGGGGTTCTTGGTGAAATAGTACTTGATTGAGAGGAGAGTTCTGTTGCCCCACACTACGATACTTATTGGGTTCTATAGAGCAGGTGAAGAAGAGGATTTACAGTTGGTAGAGACAAGAAGAAAGACGTGAACATACATTCCAAATTTGAAATTAGTGATTAACAAAATATAAAACTAGGTCTATTTTTTGCAAAATCATTATCCCAACATAGCAGCACAAACCTGGAGAGGGAAAGAAGGCAACGTCGAAGCTTAAGTGAGAAGAGTTATGGCGGTGGTGAAGGTAGGAAAAGCCGAAGGTAGCCGTCATAAGAGCAATTGTTTGACAATAGTGAAGGTAGGAGAAAGAAAAAGGAGGGGGCTGATGCTTTGATTTAAAGGACCAAAACAATATCGTTTTGGTAAAGAATAATTAAAAAAAAATAAATAATAAAAAAAAAACACCAAAAGGCAACCTTTTATTAAACCGCATTAAATGCGGTAACCTCCCCTACCGCAAAGAGCCGGACCCGTGTTATAAGACTCTCATAAGACGCCAACAACCATATACTCTGTCCTACGTCTCATCTTCCCCGACATCCATAACCATGCGCTTCAATGAGTAAGCTTATTCCTTCAAAGTAATCTGAATGGCCACCGTAGCTCTTCACCTCTCTCGAATTTCCCGCCAATTCCCTCTCTCTTCTCTCTTCTTCCCTCTCTCGTTTCCACTTCTTCATAGGCATCAAAACCTCACCTTTCGCCCCAACATTGGCCGCAAGTTTAGCCTTTTCATCTCCAAATTGCCTCGCAGTTTCTCCGTCACCGGTTCAAGCTCTAGAGGCGAAGTTCTTCTGTTATGGTTGTGAGTTTTCTGAGAAAGTTTATCTTATCTTGTCGTGAAGATTTTTGAGACAACAAATTCGGGTCTTTTGTTTCTTGTGTTAATGATTTTATTTGAAAAATGAAATACAAGACTTATAAAGATGAAATGGAAACAAAACCGAGAAAGTGCTTTCTGTAGCGGATTGGGTGTAAACATACTAAAAAAGGAGGTCGGAGAGGATTAGATGTACGCACCTTACCCAGTCTAACTCCAGGTCACAAATGGAAAAACCTGGTGGCACCACGGTTGGGCATTACTTGCTCAAAATGGGTGCCTCAAATTGAAATTCGAAACTGAAGGGTTGTTCGGATGAGTATTTCACCGCAGTACTGGGAAATGCAGGATGAAATACTTTCGTCAGAAAAGAAGATCAATAGTTTTATTGGGCTTATTTAATTGTAGGTTCTAGACTTTTCCTGCATTTCCTCGGGGAACAACTTGAAGGTCATAAGGGATAGATAAGCTGAAAATTGTGGAAAATGGTCCATGTTTCTTTTGGAAGTACAGTAAAAACTTGACATTGGAAATCTTAGGCTGTATTTGGAAGTTAGAAGAAGGAAGGAAAGAAAAAACACAGTATATGGTGTTATATATTCTTATTTATAGTTGTTTTGATGTTCGTAAGGAAAAGAAATATACATGAATTGCATGAACCAAATGGAGCCTTAAAATTGGCTTCAGTACAGGTACATATTTTGATAGTGCTATACTTGGGAAAATAAGTTGAATATTGAAGTAGTACCGTCATCTTTAGAGAACAATGACTGTTAGTCTTGAATTATTCCTATTGCTACACGATTACATTGTTGAATTGAGTGTTTAGTTTTGAGGTAAGCAAAACAGCGTTAAACATAAGACCTGATGTTCTTTTTTCCTTCTGTTTAGGTTGGTTTCTTGGGAACCAAATGGAGTGTATATAGATGCTTTGGTGAAATTTCTTGAAATTGATGTGGTCTACAGTTCATCACATGTAGTATGTTTAGTTTTGGATGCGAAAATCTATTGTGTACATTTTATATTATTTGGTGTAACCTCTTATTTCTGCGTTTGTAATCTTGAAATTTTTTTTTTTTGGTGACATGGATCTGCAGTTCTGCACATGATGCAAAAAAGTTTGCTTAGAGTCTTATATTCTGAATCAATGATCTGCAGTCAGCTTGGTTTTTGCAAGCATTGGGAAGATGACAGCAGATGTGAGTTGGGCTTCACATCCAAGTGTTGGGGATTAAGTCTTGTTGAGTTAAATTTAGACTGAACATATGGATTCAGCTAGTGAGTGGAGAGATCAGCCTAGGAATTTAAAGATGACACCATAGAAAAGAAGGGCAAAACAAGGATTGATCTTACCAAATCATGAGAACTGGGGCAAGTGAAGTTGAGTGAACTTGTGCATATGCCATGTGATACGGAGCAAGAATAGGGATTTTAAATTTTCACATTTTGCTAATTAGAGTAGAATTGTAATTTGTTTGGCTCAAGCCAAGTAGGGGCTTGGCATATTGATTTTTGAGTCAGGATAACAATTTATGAGACATTGGTTTGACATATTATTCCTGATAAGAGCAGAATTAAATTTAGTGATGGGGGTAAAAGTTTGGAATAATAATTCTAATCATGCTGTTTCAGCAAACATCAATTCTCATGAACAGTGGAATGGTCAATATACCATGTTTACTTTGTAATATTCCGCTAGTGGTAAAATATCTAGAAATACGGTGATTACAAAGTCTTGTATATCTGAATACGGGTGGTTTGGCAACTTGATAAGAAAGGCAGCCCCTAAATACATGTCAAACTCATCAGTTGTACACCAGCAAGCTGTTCAATGAGCCTATTAGAGTGCAATTTTGTTCACATGCTGCCTTATGTGGGAAGTTTAAGGGGATATGCACCATTTCTAGTTAGTGAATTGTTAATGGATCCTCAGTTGTTTGACTTGTTTCTCATACTTCATCTTTTAGCTTGTGCTGTTCTTTGTTTTTCAGTCTGGGAAAAAGCTTAACGTCCTTGTTGCTACATGCAAATTGAGATACCGTGTGTGATCATGCAAGTAACATGATAAAGCGACATTGTATCTTCATGCATGCAACAGTAAATAAATATATCCGACAAGAGCATTTTTTTTGGATATAATAAAGAATGCTAATGTTTTCTGGTTATTGTTTCGGATTAGGAGTAAGAAATTCCTTTCTATGAATGGGCAAAACATTAATCATTCGACACCTTTCGTTGTTCTCAAGAATCTTTACTGAGGTGGCTTAGACGAATTGCGACTTCTTTATGATCTTGTCAAGCGAACTTCTAGGTTTTTGCCTATTTTGAAAAGTTATTGGGTGGCTTATTCATTGGGGCTCTTTTTGATGTCTTTAATTAACTTTTCTGGAGAGGATGTTAATCATATCTTTCATCAGCTCCTTCAACCAGCGTACTCCAGTCTGCAAATCATTTATAATCAGGAATTTTATAAAATTAATATGTAAAGAATCCTCCTGTTAAATTATATCCTTGGTACCTTTATCATGTTTATTGCTAGGGATTGTCCCTAGCAATTTCAGCTTCTTCAATTTAGTTGGTCGTGGAAGAGATCAAGTTTCTAGAGGTCTAAGCAGAACCTTGGGTGTGAACAGAGGTTTAAAAAAAATCAAATTTTTATGAGTGCTCAACGTCAAACAAATCTGAGGTCACTCTTTTAATTCTTCAGTTCAATTTTTCTGATAAGTCTTAGGCCTTTATTGACTTGCCTGTATCCCTGTTTTCCATATATTAGCATGAAATGGTAAAATTACATTCGATTTCTAATGACTAGAGTTTATAGTTGTTATAATCCCACTTTGCTGATAAGAAATGAAAACATTCCTAACCGTTCTTTCATGAGAACCATGTAAACTCTGATTACATTTTCAAAAGGGATGTCAGTTAGTTTTTTAGATGTTTTCGATATATGGAAAGTATTTTTTACTTGGACCGTTTTAATACAGCCTTGCAATCCTGCAGTGGGTGGACCTGCAAAGTCTCAACTAGTACATGAAGTTGATGCACTAGGAGGTGAAATCGGGAAGGTAGCTGATAGGTAAAGTTTTACTTGCCAAGTTTTGTCTTAAGATGATTATTGGGATGTTTTTGGTTATGTAAAATGTTATCTAGATCGCGAGTCGCTTTGGTACGTGATACGGCCAGGGGTGGATTCAGAAATTTTTTCTAGAGTAGGCACACTTTAACTACATGATTCAATTTTTTCTTCCAATAAATAAAAATAATGTGACACATTTGTATTTTTAACATCATATTTGTTAAGAAAAAAAATCATTAAATACAATAGTTAAAAAGCACTATATATAGACTATGCGATGTAGGACGAAAGAAGAATTAAAATAGTAGAAAAAAGTATAAGAGATACCAAACCCTCGGAAGGATTAGGTTAAGAAACACACAAAATTCTTCACTGAAAAACACTTTTTATTATATCCCTCTTTCTAAAAATAAAAATAGTTGGGATTACACATTATTTATAGGCCAAGTTCCCTACTAAAATAAAATTTATTTTCCTACTAAAATTCTAAAACAGTTTCATAATCAAACTCTTAAACTCCCATACTACTAAAACTCTATAATAATTTCCTAATCAAATTTTAATTACTATTTCTAGGCAAACAAATACTCATAAATCAAATAATAATAAAAAATTACTAATTACTCTTCCCTTTGGACTAAATATTCCTAGTCTTTCTCCTAGATTTTCAAAGTTAATTGTATTGATCCAATCAACCAATGGTTGCGCCATCAATTCTCCCCCGCTGAAAAGAACTCGACTCTGGCGAGTAAAGAGAAGGACCAAGAATAACATCTGATGGAGAAGCTCTCTGAATCAATAACGAACTCTTTTTCAATTGTAGTGTATGCGCATTAGTAGCACAAGTAAGAGTATACTTCTTTTTTTCAATTGCAAAAGAATAAGTATTAGCGCGCTCTGCATGTTGTGCATCACGATCTCATATCCAATTGCACCCTAAAAGTACATGACAAAGCTTGAGAGGCAACACATCACACATAACGTTCTCCTTAAAGCTTCCAATGGTGAATATAACTGGACATTTCATATCAACTTTCAGCTTGGTATTAGTAATCCATGCTACATGATATGGTTCCGGATGTGGTTCAACTTTCAAATTTAGTTTCTTCACGATCTCTTCTAATACCACATTTGTGCAACTTATCATCTCAATCATTAACGAGCATATCTGTCATTCACAACAAACTCTTGTTTAAAAGATTTTTCCTCGATAAACAAATTCACCATTAGCAACTTTTTTATTAACAATAAGTAGAGGACAGATAACATCCACAAAATGATCATCATCAAAATTAACCTCACCCACATCAAGAGATTCTATGATCTCTATTTCAAATTCTGGTTCATCAGAATCATTATGCACCATGAAATTTTT